TCCACAGTAAACACACTTTGATTAAACTCTTGAGAAGGTATAGAAAAGAATCTTCAAAGCTGATTGTACGAACTGCGCAAGTTTTGCCTTTATTGCTCTCACTTCTCTCCCTTCCCCCATGGGGCTGAGGGGAGGAAGCCCTCCTTGGACAGGATGCCTGCACCTGCTGGCCGCAGCTTGGGCTCAGCTCTTCCTTGTTGTTATTACCAATTTCAGGTGGTTTGGGTGCAGTGAGAGGCTGCTTTGGGATCCCTGTGTCAGTCTGTGCTTTGAGGCATTGGGGCAGAGCCTCCTGGTGAGGGCTTCCCCTGGCAAACCAAGGCAAGGCAGCTCTCCCCGTTACAGCTTCGTAGACTCACTGAGATTGCAAAACAGCTCTGAGATTCCCACCCCATCCCACCGTGCCCGCTGAGCACATCCCCAGGTGTGATGGGACACCCACTGTGTGCAGCCTGGAGCATCACAGCCTTCCTGTGCAGGAAAGAGCTTTGGTGGACACACATCTGTGTCCTGCACTGCCCTGTGCGTGCAGTGGCCCTGATTCCTGCTGCCTGTTCTTGTGGCAATGTCTCTGCCAAGTGCTGATTTTCTAACGGACTTCCTTGTGCAAATGGATGCACCCATAGCAACCTTCCACACCAGGCTGCCTCCAGTGTTTGCTGTTTCCTTTTGGAGTCCATTTCACGGATTTCCCTCCATGCAATATGGGTTCCTCTTCTGTCCTTTCTGCCGCCTGGCCAAAATACAACGTCCTATTCTGCAGTTCTGCCTCGTGCACCAGGTTCTGTCTCCATCTTGTTGCACAGTTGAGTGCAGTTTTGTGCCTCCGAACGTGTCTGATTTCTGCTGAGAGCAGCTTGCACTGTGCCTGCATGGCACAGCGTGGATGGAAGCACACACATTTGATGAACCTCTGGAGAAGAGCCCTGCATCTTTTGTACAAGTGATAGCTGTGTTCCTCTGATTGCCCTCCTCCTCCTGCAGCAGCCTGCATGCCTGCTTCTCTGCACTCTCAGTTAAAGCCAGGCTTGCTAAGCAGGTGCCATCATCCCTGGATCACTGACTTCTCTGCAGCTGCACAGTGATCTCGAGATGAGCCCCAGAGCAGTTTGGGCTGCAGATTGAAGCACTGAGGCTGGAGCAGATGAGGCGTCCTCCAGCACTGCCTGGGCTGTGGGACCTCCTAGGGTTTTGCTCAGCCCTGTGCTTTCCTCTGTGCCAGGACAGGTGCCTGGGTCCCAGCCTGCAGCTGCCACGTTCAGGAGGCACCTGGGAGCCCAAGGTGCTTCACAGCCTGCATGTGCATCATTAGAGAAGCCTCTGCTCTCATGGCAGTAATAGAAAACCTTTGTTTTCTGCTCTGTTTTTGGACTCCTGACTCCCTTACCCCTAAATCACACTGTGGCAATGGAGGGAGGTGTCTCAGCCTTGCCTTGCGCGCAGTTACTGTGCGCGGGGGCCTCATCGAAATCTCTCAGATGCTGCAGGTGTCCTTCAGGAGACTGAACTGCAGCTGGGCTGCTGTTGTCAGAGCGTGCTGCTGCAGTTCAGTGCTCAGGAAGCTTTAGCTTTGCAGCCTGTGATGTGACCTGTAACCTCTTGTTTGCTGCTGTGCCACGCGGTGCCTCAGGGACTTTTGTGTTTGGCGCTTTGTAGGTGGGTCTGTGAGCAGCAGAGCGGTCCTGAGCTGCTTTCTTCAGCCCCACTGGTGTGAGGCTGAGACGGGGGCCGTGTTTCCCTTTGCTTTTGGGGTGGCTGTGATTTTGGTGCTGAGAGCAAGCCATCTGAATGCGCGCAGTGATGGGCGCTGCTGCGCAGCGCGTGGAAATGGGCCATTAATGGGGCAGCGCGCATTGAAGCACTCTCACTGCCCCGTGGCAGAAATCAAAGTGCCTTCCCTCTTGCCAGTGAGCCCTCCAGCACCCTGTTTGCATCCCACTGCTAACGGCTGGTGCTTGCAGTGAGCAGCTCATGATGAGCTCCGCTCCACCTCTCCCTGCACGCAGGCTGTGCTCAGCGCTCCTCGGTTCTGCCGAGAGCAACGGGAGCAGAGACCTCACACAGCCCAGAAGGGTCTCTGCCAGGTGTTGCTGCTTTCTTCCCTTGCAAGATGAGTCACTGCTTGCTTTTTTTCTTTTTTTTTTTTAACTCCTCTTATTTTGAATGCTAACAATGTTGGGGTTTTTTTTGGATTTTTGGTTTTGGTTTTTTCATGGAGATCGTATTCCTTATGAGCCCCTCCTGATTGCAGATGTTTTATGATCACAGGTTCACAGAATCATAGAACGGCCCAGGTTGGAAGCGACCTCAAGGCTCACGAAGCTGCAGCCCTGCAGCCACACGCAGGGCCACCAACCTCCCCATCTCACAGCAGCCCAGGCTGCCCAGGGCCCCATCCAAGCTGGCCTCCAACACCTCCAGGGATGGACGGGGCATCACAGCCTCTCTGGGCAGCTGTTCCAGCCCCTCCCCGCTCTCACAGCACACAACTTCCCCCTGACATCCAACCTCCAGCTGCCCTCCCTCAGCTTCCAGCTGTTTCCCCTCGTCCTGCTGCCATCTCCCCTTGCCAGGAGTTGACTCCCCTCCTGTCTGCAGGCTCCCTTCAGCTCCTGCAGGCTGCAATGAAGTCAGCCTGCAGCTTCTCTTCTCCATGCTGAAGAGCCCAGCTCCCTCAGCCTGGCTTTGTAGTGGAGGTGCTGCAGCTTTGTGGTGTCTTCATGGAGAGCGATGAGGGGCTGGAACAGCTGCCCAGAGAGGCTGTGATGCCCCGTCCATCCCTGGAGGTGTTGGAGGCCAGGTTGGATGGGGCCCTGGGCAGCCTGGGCTGCTGTGCAATGTGGAGGTTGGTGGCCCTGCACGTGGGGGGGGTTGGAACTTCATGATCCTCGAGGTCCCTTCCAACCCAAACCATTCTGTGATTCTATGATTCTGTGATTAAAGATGTTCAGGCCAGTGCCTTTCATCCCCAGTCAGCGTTCAGCACTTCTAGTAAAAGTAACTCTGTGCCTTTATTTCAAGAACCATGCTTGAAGGACACGGGTTGCTTTGGTTTGACAACAGATCTTTGAGAGCAGCATGGAGCTTCCTTGCATTTCCTGCGACTCTCTGCAGTTCCTGATAACTCTTAAAGCCGTCGGTTGCTTGCGCCCATTTCATATTTGCTTCTCTGATTTGATTAAAGTGTTTTCCTACGAGCGGTGATGCAGTACAGAATTAAATGTCTCCTGGTGGTCTGTCATGTCAGGATGACACACGGATCCAGGGCAGCTCCTGTCAGCCCAGCACGTTGAATGTCACCACTGGGAGGGCGGCCGTTCGCCTCTGACTTCAACTTCACTCCCCTGTGTTGTGTTGATGGCAGTGACCGTAGGTTGGAGTCCTGCAGACTCCCACGCCTGAATCCACAGCACGTTTTACACGGCCTGGGCCATTCCTCTTTCCATCAGCCATCTCTTGTTGCTTCTGGGTTCTCCTTTTGTCCTCCTTGCCCTCTGGGTGCCCTGGATGCAGGGCACGGCGCTGCCGGCAGAAATCCTCCCTCCACGTGGCTGGAACATCAGAGAACAAACACATCGAGTTGCCATGGCAGCAAGAAGGTTTACAGGAGCCTGAAATTGTTGTGCTTTGAACCTAAAATGCTCCTCAGGAAAATATTCCGAGCGCAGCAGTGCTGGGAGAACTCAGGCACTCAGTGATGGAGCGGAGTGTGAGCTCTGAGATTCCCAAACCCCAACCCATCCCCCCCAACCATGTCCCCCTATGCTGCATCCACAAAGGCTCTCAAGCACCTCCAGGGGGGACTCCTCACTGCCCTGGGCAGAAGTTGGATTTGGTGATACTTGTGGGTATTCCAATCTGGGATATTCTGAGTGAGCTGCATGTTGTTGACGATGTGTTCCCCGCTGAAGGATGCCTCACTTGAAGCACACCGAGCTTCAGAATGAAAACAGATTCATTGAGAAAAATGTGTCTTTCCTGACCTGAGGTCTGCATCACTTGGGCTCCACGGCGCACACGTGCCACAGCTGCAGCACAGCGCTCGTCCCTCTGTGGCTGTGTGAAATCCCATCTGCAGTCCCCCTCACTCTGCACAGCTGCTGGCAGAGGGGGGTTTTGGCATCTCCAGGTGGCTTTGTGCAGTCTGCTTCTTCCAGACACTGCCAAGGGTTAGGAAAAGGGTTAAGAAGGGCAGGCTTACCCCCAGAACTGAGGAGTAACTGGTGGCCAGGATCACTGCCAGTGACCATGTGCATATACCCACCTCTGGGCCAGGCTGTGGACTGCAGGGGGTCCAACTGGTGGCCCTGACCCTCACCATGGCTTTGGCCCCACTGAGGACTCTTTGGTGCTTCCCCAGATGCTGCCTCTAAACCCTCCTGATACAACTCTTCCACTCCTTGTGCTCCCAGCCCGTGGCTGTTCCCTGGGAGAGAAGCATGCACCGTGTGCCATGCTGAGATGGGAGCTGGAAGCAGATGGAGCCTTGTCTGTTCTGGCTCCTCCTGTGCTCCCATAAGGACGTGCCTCCTCTCCTGGGTGGTGAGGTCCTGGCACTGCTGCCCAGAGTGTGGATGCCCCATCCCTGTAGGTGCTCAAGGCCATGGATGGTTTCTGAGCTGGTGGTGGGCACCGAGCCCACGGCAGGGGTGGGGGGGGAAGGGGCTTTGAGTTCCCTTCCAACCCAACCATTCAATGATTCTATGACAATTCCTATCCCATCTCCGCGCTCCTTCTCTGCTACCACCTTCCTGCCCCAGCATGGCATTGAATCACAGAATCATTAAAGCTGGACAAGGCCCCAGCCAACCCCAACCCACCCCCACCGTGCCCATTGACCGTGTCCCCAGGTGCCATATCTACTCCTTTTCCCGAGCACCTCTGGGGGGACGGTGACTCCGCCACTTCCCCGTGCTTCCCACCCCAATGCCGCACCGCTCACCGCCCGGCTTCGCCCTGCACACCCAATCCCTAACGCCCCTTTCCTGCCTCTTTTGCAGTGCCTTTCAGAGAAACTCCCAGCTACACGAAGCGGAGACGGATCCTCGGCGCCGGCGGCCTCTCCTCCCCTCGAATTCTGCAACGCTCTGCCAGCGACAACAACTTGAAGGCAGAGAGCCGGGCGTCTTACTCTCCGGTGCCCTCCCTGCGCAGCCTCCCCCCCCAGCTGCTGGCCCAGATGCAGGAGGCTGCGGTGGGGGTCGGTGGTGGGGATGGCAGCCTGGCCAGCTCCAGCAGCGCCCGCAGCGCCCACAGCCGCTCGCCGTCCCTGCAACGTGTGCAGGAGGAGAAGGAGGTCGACCTGCCCACGCTCCGGAGGAGCAGCCGCGGCAAGGCCAGGTGAGAGCTGGGTGGGCGCAGTGGGACTGGGCTGTGTCGCATTGGCACCCATGGGAGAGGTGGTGAGACACGGGCTGGCGCCAGCAAGTGCCAGCAGTGCATGGAGAAGGGATGCTCAGGGCTTGGCGTGAGCGCAGTGGGGGGCTGCTTCAATCTTCTCCCCATCCCTCGGTCTAATTTTGAGTCTCGAAAGAATGGTGAGCACATCGATTCCATGTTGTGCTCGTTGTTGCCATGGCAATGGATGCATCTTGAAAACTAATACTTGGAGGTGGCATACTGCAGAAAAGCTGGCCCTGTGTGCGTCCGAGCCGGCTTCTGGCTGTCGCTGCCTCCTGCATACCTACAGGTGGTTGCTTTCTTGAACCCACTCGGGCCTGGGAGCTGTTGGTGGGCACGGCCACGCTCCCGTTGGTGGATCAGGACCAACATTCACTGTGCTACAGGGATGGCAGTGGCCCATCCGTGTGACTTTTGTTGTCCTGCTGCGCCCCTGTCACCCAGCGACCGTGAGCAGCACCAACTCCAGCTCTGCTGCTGCTCTGCCTCTGGGTGGAACCGAGGCACCGAGTGCTGATTTTTAGGGCAGAGGCCTCCCTGCTAAAATGCTGCTGCAGGGCAGGAGTTGAGGAGAAGGCCTCTTGGTGAAGGCTGGGTTCAGGCTTTGCTTCATGAAATCCTCTGTCGGAGAGGCGAACCGCAGCCATGCCTGGTGTAAAGTAATGTGTGCTGGGGGGGGTAATGGGGAGCTCCAACACTGCGTGTGCAGAGCAGGAGGCTGAAGAGTGGGTGGCAGCTGTGGGCTGTCCTTGTGCTTGCTGATGAGCAAGCAGGGAATAGGCTTGGGCAGCAAAGAACCCATCTGCAGGTGACAGCTCTTTACATTAAATGCCATGCAGATACATCTTGGAGAGTCTTCGAGGTGATCTGAAGGGATCAGGGAGACAGAAGCATGTCAGTGAATGAAAAATAAGGAGAATAAGTGCAAAATAGCTACGAGAGGGTCCTGGGTGGGATTCCTAATGAACAGTTTAACCTGGGCAGGTTTGCAGGTTGTTTCCTATGCAGTTGGGGAGCTCTGCTCACTGCAGGCTTCAGAACAAAGTGTGGTGGAACCACATCACTGCAGGTTTGGTGGAGGAAGACGTGGGCACAGCTTGGTGCTGTGGTCGGAAGCTGTGCTGGCACCTGTGAGAGTCTGGGGACAGACTGAGCTCCACGCACACCATGAAAACCATCGCCAGGAGTTTGATAGCAATGAAAAGATCCTCTGCTCTGAAGAGAGATTTAGGAGAGCGGGATTGTTACCTTAGAAACGACATGGATGGGAGGAAAAAGGTTAAAAACATTGGGAATATGGAACGGCTTGTGAGAGGGAAAACAGGGAACTTCTGATTGTTTCGTGGCACCAAGAAAAAAAAGAGCATGCAGTGGAATTAATGGCAAGCAAATTCAAAACCAGGATGAGACGGTGCTTTTCCCTGCAGTGAGTCTGGAATTCACTGCCTCGGGAGCTTGCTATGCAAGGGCACAGTGTGATTATAGAAGCATTAGGAGGTCAGAGTGAGGGAAGTCACACTGTGGGCTTTTGTAATCAGTGCTTCTGGAGCTCCTCCTGGAACCACCGGGAGCCTTGGGGACACACAGAGCAGCTCTGCCCATCCTCTGCCTACTGCCTGGGCTGGGGCATGTGATCCTTCCTGGCCATCTGCATTTAATGATGTGCATCTAAGACGTTTTATTCCATTTTTTTGTGTATTTCTGTAGGGATGGCAGCATTCTGAGGTTCTGAGCTTGGGGCAAGTGGAACATGCACAGTGCAGGCGCTGTGCTGAGCGTGGCGGTGAGGCTGGGGCAGTGGGATGAAGCCGTCCTGGTGATGGGAGGAATGTAGAGCATTGAGTTGAAGCTCAAGACTGGGAGCCCAGGAGGCGTTCACTTGGTGGAGAGAAGGCTGAGGGGAATCAGAGCAGTGCTGAAGGGTGGATGATGGTCAGGAGGAGGGCGCCAGGCTCTGCTCGGTGCTCCCAGCACCAGGACAAGGGGCGGCTTCATCCCATCTGACAAACCTGATGCCATGCTATGAAAAGATGAGCCGCTTAGTGGGTGTTGGTGAGGCTGTCGATGTGATCTACCTGGACTTCAGCAAGGCCTTTGACACTGTGGCAGAATAACCGGGGTCGGAAAAGACCTTCAGGACCATCTGGTCCCAACCATCAGCTCTGTCCTCAACAACACTCATGGAGAAGCCAGCTGCCTGTGGTTTGGAGGGGCTGCGCTGCTGGGTGAAACGCTGGCCGGGCACAAAGAGCTGTGGTCAATGCAGGCAAATCCAGGCATCCCCTGGGGCTCAGCACTGGGCTGATGTTCCTGTCGAACATCTTTATTAATGATCTTGATGAGGGCATCGAGTGCAGACAGGCAGGGAGCGTTGATCTGCCAGAGGGGAGAAAGGCGCTGCAGAAGGAGCTGGACAGACCGGATGGATGGGCTGGGGTTAACTGTGTGAGTTTCAATAGGGCCGAGTGGGGGGTCCTGCATTTTGGGCACAACAACCCCTCCAGGCTTGGGGAGGAGTGGCTGAAAGCTGCCTGATGGAAAGGGAGCTGGGTGTGCTGGTGGGCAGCAGCTGAGCGTGAGCCAGCGGTGTGCGCAGCTGCCAAGAAGCCAAAGGTGACCTGGCTGGGATCAGGAGTGGTGGCAGGAGCAGGGAAGTCGTCCTGCCCTGTGTTCAGCTCTGGGGAGGTGCTGGGTTCAGTGTTGGGCACCTCGGTGCAGAAGGGACGTGGAGGGGCTGCAGCGGGGCAGAGAAGGGCAGCAAGGCTGGGGAAGAGCTTGGAGAACGTGGCCTGCAAGGAGAGACTGAAGGAATGGGGCTGTTGGGTCTGGGGAAAAGGAGGCTGAGGGGAGACCTGATTGCTCTCTGCCAGCATCTGAAAGGTGATGGCAGCAGGGTGAGGTTGGTCTCTTCTGGCTGGTGACGAGGGGAAATGGCCTCAAATTGTGCCAGGGGAGGTTGAGGTTGGATCTGAGGAAACGCTTCTGTGCAGAAAGGGCTGCTGAGCAGTGCGATGGGCTGCCAGGGATGTGGTTGAGCCACCAGCCCTGGATGTGGTTCAAAACCATCTGGATGCGGTGCTCAGGGCCGTGATTCAGTGGAGGGCTGTTAGAGTTGGGGTGGGATGGTTGGGTTGCGGTTGGACTCGATGATCTTTGAGGTCTTTTCCAACCTGAGCAGTTCTGTGATTCTATGATACTTTACCACATCTCCGTGCTCAGTTCCCAGTGATGTTTTCTTTTCCAAGAGGAAAACACTGATAAGTGAAAGCACACCATGAACACCTGGAGTCCTCTCACATCTCCCCTCCCAAAATCGTGCAGGAAAATTGGTGCTGGGTCAGATTTTGATCAGAATTAAACACAAAGAAAAATCCACGGCTGCAGCACGTGTCCCCAAATCCTTTATTCTGAGGGAGGAAACCGCCAGCAAAATTCTGATTGTTTTGCAAATATATTCGGGCTGGCAGACATCATTTAAGGGAAGAATGGTTTAGCTGCAGCATTTCACGTTTTCCAGGGGCGATGCTGTGTGCGTGGGCACGGGGCAGAGCTGGGGGTTGATGCACCCCATAGGGTTTGGGGCAGCCTCTCTCTGAGCATCCCCAGTGGTGCTGTGCTGTCCCCTGAGCCCACGGCTGGGAGCTGCCCTGGAGAGGTGTTGGCGGTGCAGACGGCTGCCATCCTCCCCCAATTCCCTGAGCTCTGAGGGTCTGCAAAGCCCCGTGTGTCTGTTTGTACCCACAGCTCTGTCCCAGAGCTGCTCCGGGCAGCAGCGTGGTGCAGGTGCAGCACAACGCAGCAGCAGATGATGCTGTGTGTTTTTCAGGCTGTGGTTTTGATAGCTGCTAATGCTGCGTTCTGTGAGATGCCTGATGTGTGACTCACATCCCGCGTGTGAGAGCCTCCACCTTTTTCCTTTCCTCCCTCAAATCCCACTCCATAACAAGTGTTTCCCTATCTGGATCGTGCTGCGGTTGATGTCTCCTGCACGGATGGAGCACCTTCAGCTTACCAGGGTCTGCTTAAACCCAAACCTTGTGCTTTCCCAGGCTTTCCCATGCTTTTGGGACACGGTCTGTATCGCGTGAGCCTTCAAAGATGAGCTTCAGTGTTCTTAGATTGCTTCAATCCACCCTTAAACTTCTCACTTAGATGTGCAGTCTGGCTCACCCCGACATTAATTAGTTCCCATTGCTGGTTTCCAGGTGAGCTCTTTCCTCTCAGCCCCTGCAGAGGTGCATTCCATCTCACACTGATCTTTGTGTTAAAGGCTGATTCAGTGATGAGCAGACATTAAGTTGGTCTCCTTAGTTTCATCCACTGGAAGCTTTCTCTCTCTGCAGTTACCCAAAAGAGCACCAACCATTTCCAGCTATTTGGGATCTTTTCTTGCTGTCAGTGGATTTGCAGAATGCTTTCTTGTTTGCTTTGCTTCTCACTGCAGTGGCACTTCTTGTGATTGTGCCTTCTGGATTTTTCTATCTGGTGTGTGTATGTGTGTTTTGCCCACAGCAATCACTGCTGCTTTTCAGTTTCTATAGCGTTTGAAGCCTCCCCTCCAGCCTGCCCTCCCTCCAGCCTTCCTTCCCTCTCTCCCATCTTCCCTTCCTGCCTTCCTTCCTTCCCTCCTGCCTTTCTTCCTCCTGCCTCCCTCCTTTCCCTCCTACCTTCCTTCCCTCCTGCCTCCCTCCTTTCCCTCCTGCCTTCCCTCCCTTCTGCCTTTCCTCCCTCCTCCTTTCCCTCCTGCCTTCCCTCCCTTCTGCCTTTCCTCCCTCCTCCTTTCCCTCCTGCCTTCCCTCCCTTCTGCCTTTCCTTCCTCCTGCTTTTCCATCTGCCTTCCCTCCTTCCTCCCCTCCCTCTCTCCCGCCTTCCTTCCCTCCCATCCCATCCCCCTTCCCTCCTCCCCACCTTCCCTTCATCCTTCCCTCCCTCGGGTGAAC